TTCCCTTTGATTACACAGATTTAAACAAGTCAAAGTCCTTTTTAGCTCGTGAAAAAATGAAAAACAAGCATTCCCTCCTGTAACAAAATTAACATCCCACAGAAGGTCTGTTTGTACTTGGCCGTCATGAACCTTTCATCTCCGAGCACTGCTAAATTAAACAAGCCTATGTTGTATTGAACACAGTGAGCCAGACACCCTGGCAGGCTCCTCACTTCATCAGTGGGTGCTGAAGAACATTAGAAATAAAGAAGATGGTGAGAATGACAGGGATGGTGGTCATAAAGTAGCTTCGACTTCACTCAGTCGGACATTTCAAGTATCTACAATAATGAAACATTCTAACAACTCCGAGACCCCTTTCTCTGCTGGTGTTTGTAAGAAGAGAGCACAGACTTTGGAGCCCGAGAGATATGAATTCAAGTCACTGCTTAGTTTGGTTTTTAACATACTAGCTGAGCACCCAAGGACAACTTTCCTAACTAAGGCATTTCATGCTCTCAAACTGGGTGATTACATCTATCCTCCGAGTTTATAAGGACAAAATGAGGGAATGCCAACTGCTCAAGATGCAAATCGCCACCACTCTCAACACTTCACAGCAAATGCTCATTTTAGAGCTTATATCATAGTATAAGTAATTGACATCAGCCGTCCTTTTTCTACCCCGAGGACATCTAAACAACCAAAAGATCCTATGAAGATTTCATATTAAATAAACTGTCCCCTTCCATAGAACTGAAAGTAAGAAAGCCATCAATAAAGTCTGTTTTAAATGTATTAAATCAGGGCATGACACAAAGCATTCATTCACCTAAAAGGTATTTAAAAGTACTGAACTGAGAGAGACGCACCAAGAGAAACACTTACTATTAGAAAGAAATGCCTATTTTTCAGTGCAATAATTGGTAACCTTTCTGGGAAGATTGATGCCATCTGATTATAATTCCCAAGTGTCAGTAATCAGTTCTTAAGGTAAAAGAAAAAGGAAGTGGGATGGTTTCGAGCACTCCAGAAAAGATGTAGGAGGATATCCTTTCCCACTGACAGCAATTAATGTTTGAATGATGGCTGCTAGAACATTCAGACTGAAAAACTTTGTCACATTAGAATAGACTGAAATCTATTTAAAACAAAACTTACTAGGTTTAACATACACAAACACAACCCTCCCCATGACCTGGGTCTCTTCTCCGAACAAACCAAACGGGCACAAAGGCCAAGTTTGCATGGAACTCTCATATTTGTCATCACACTGCTATGATGTGATTAGCCATGCTCCCATGTTGGAAGTCTATTTAAAGAGGGTATCTGGACACTGCAGTAATAGACAAGAGTCAGACTCCCTCTGCCCAGCTCCATATTTCTATCACACCCACCATGACACAAAGCTTCCAGGGTCAGCAAGGAAGGAAATTTCTCAAGGAGGATGGAACGGTCAGAAGCTGGAGATTTCCCTAGGGAGTTTCTCTAAGCCCTATGCTCACTTTGGAACTTGAGGCCCAAAGCCACTGCTCTCCACCCCTCTTCACCTCACAGGGGTAATAATAATGCCTTTGTGAGAGATCAACCCAGGTATGCACACTGCAGAAGTCAGCCTGGGATGCTTCCTGGGGATCTATGCTGCATACAGGCACTTAAAAATGTCTTTCCACTCCTCCTGCAGTTCCATACTCTCACCCTGATCATGAAACCATTTCATCTGAGTATTCTACCACCACAAATTCTGGATATGAAGACAGCTTTTCTTCTTTCCAACTTTCCAATCAAATAACCACTTATACTGCCAGTCTAAACTTTAAGCTTTATGCCTAAAATAGGAAGAAATCGTTACAAATGCACAAAATCCAACCCATACATAAGAATGTCTTAAAATCTGTTTAAATACAGTATAACAATTTTTACAAATGCAGCTAAGAGGGGAAATAAAGGATAAAGTCTTAATTAAGACTTTGGTTTAACTACTACTAGTAATTCCTCACTTTTCAGGAGTATTTTTAGAAATAGGGTTTTAAAGCATGCGATTAAAGAAATTAACTCATCAGTGAAATGAAAGCTACCATATAAGCAAATTCCTATACTACCACAGAAAAAAGTTTCAAGAACCCAGAACTTCGGTTATTTTAGAAAACAAATACAAGGTTACACCATTAGCCACAAAATATCCAAGGGAAAAGTCCAGGAAATCTCATTAATTTAGACCCCACTAATGAAGACTCAGTAGTTTCCTTTTAGGTCTGCCTAGATTTAACTTTTGGACTATTTATTTAGTAAGGGGTTGCTAAGGAAATTAAAGGACAAATAAAAATTGCTAGGGGATTATTTAATCAATTTAAAATTTTTTACATGCAAATAACCGCTGCTAAAATACTAATTAAAATCTAGCTCATGCGTTCTTTAGAATCCCCTATCCCAGTGGAAACAAAACATATGAAACAAAAGTCTACAACAGCTTAAATCTATTAAGTGCTTGCTCCATGCGCTCTGTTTATTTTGGCTATAAAAACTGGTTTAGGAGTCAGAAAAGCTTAGAAGGCAGGATACTGGACAAAGATTTATACATTCTTCTCAATGGCTGGCAATCTATTTCTCCACTTCTATTTTTAATAAATGCTGAACCACACAATTAAAATATAACTCAATTTCTTTCCATTATAATTTAAAATCTGGGGTATTTACTTTATTCTTGTCTTCAAATAACATAACTGAAAAATATTCCCAGGTCTATAATACCAAATATCCTAGGATTCTTGAATTAACATCTGGTATCTTACCTAGATACTTACTTTGCCCTTAACAGCAACAATAAAAAACAAAGAAAGCAGATTTAAAACACAGCAGTATATGTGATTCTGAAAATAAAGGGGATATAGTCTAAATCAATAATCCAAATAAAGCATCACAAAACGTTACTCTAGCAAGTGTCACTACAATTATGTATGTCTAGATTTAGGTGCATTTAGAAGTCACAGATACTAGTTTTCTTCTCCAAGAAATTAAATTTCTTAATTAAAATTTAAGGCACGTCTCACTTACATCTGAGTTCTAACTCAACAATACCAATATACACCAATCATTAATTCCTTCAAAACAATTTGAGTGTCTGCCACGTACATGCCAGGTGTCACACCGGTTGCTGGATGGAAGCTGGTCGATAAAACATACTTGGTCCCAGCTCAACAATGTGAACTTGGAATGAAAAGACAAGCACCCACATGAAACACAATCTATATCATAAGAAGATGCATTTCATATATAGCAAAAAAAGATGAATTTTAGTTGACTTTTTATTAAGTTAAAGAACAAACACTAGGACAATGACACAGTTGGTGTCTGTTTCATGGGAGACCTTAAGTAACTCTTAGTTGATTGAAATAAAATCTAAAACAAACATAAATGAGTTCACATTCATATCAGAAGTTGGTAAAATACTCTGGACAGATGGGATTTGACATCGATATTCATAGGTTTACATTTAAATACATATTCACCTAATTGACAAACTCAACAAGTATTTCATTGTCACCTGAGTTTGTGAATCCCATTCTCTATGCTATTCTGAAATTGGGATCCATGCTCGAAAGACCTTAAGTCAATTTTTAAAGCTTTTTCAAGCTCCACTATAAACGAATAAAAAACAAGAGTACTGCTCCCCACAGAGGAAAACCTTTGGTATCCAAAACAATTAGTTAGTTGCCAATAATTTAAAAATATTTATAATGAGGTAATCAGGGCAACAGAACTAAAAACAAAGGACTCAACATATTTCAACATTTTCATCATATTAAAGCCCAAGAGAGTGTCTCACTTCGACATGAGAATCATGTTAAAATCTTATGTTTAATGTTATGTAGGTTATGTTCTCAGTAAGAAAATTCTTCACGTAAGTAAGAATATCAAATGAAAGTGGTCTTTGAAAACATAAAAGGCTTATTTCAATCAAAAACCTTGCTATCTCAAAGATACCATTTTTTTTCTCCTATTGGATGGGCAAAGATTAAAGATTAACAAAACTCATTGTGGGCAGGGTATGGAAAACAAGACTGTCACTGACTTGGGGGGGGTGGTGATGATAAACTGGTAGTCTTTACAGAGGGCAGTTTACCATATGTATCAACATTTAAAATGTGCATCATCTTTGACTCTGCAATCATACTTCTAGGAAGATAAATGAACAAGTATACAATGGTGTGAGTACAGGGTTAATCAACACGCCATTATCCACTAGAAACAATCTAAGTGGTCATCAAAGGAATGATTAAACAAACCATGGTGCCTCCAAACAATGAAATATACGAGAGTCAGTAAAATCATCATGTACAGTTTACACATGCCTTTTACAATTCATGTGTAGAGATATATAATATACACTGTTGCGTTAAAAGACTACCCTATGTAGTGTAAACCAATATAATATATTTAATAATTTGTATATGAACACTTCTATACCCATAGAAATATATTCACCAAAATATAAATGGCAGTCATTTCTGTGTGACAGGATTAGGTGTTTACTTGTGTCAGTATGTTGTTTTATACTGATGGAAGATTTTTCTATTATAATAAGAAAATACAACATATCTCATTTAAGGAAAGAAGTGCTGCTATCTCACCAAACGTGCCTGCCTTCAAATCCCTTCAGTTCCCTGTTTTAAAAACAAAGTTTTCACTGAATGTTGTAAGTATACAGAACCACCAAGCAGCTTATGGGTTTCCACCTGCTGGATCTCCTTAGTACCAAACTTTAAGACAATGAAGTCATGGGAATTTAAAGATTAGATTCAAAGAAGTAAAGAAAGCCAAATAACCTTGATCAAACAACCCATGTTCCTGGCATCCACCTTAAGAACCCCAGGTTCCATGAACTTAAAATACTCCTGGAACAATCTCTCTCTCACATCTTAAGAAAGCAGGCTGCGGAGAAGAATTTTCACAACAGTGGAGGGTGGGGAGAGGTTTCTTAAAAAAAAAAAAAAAAAATTAAATGATAAAAAACTTACCTCAGTAAAAATATTTAATTATCTTCCTGTCTTACATTCTCTTTCTTAGCACCTTTACTGTGAGCCTGGAGTGGGGGGGAAGTAAAAATTACTTTTTACTGAATACCTACTATATGCCTGGTGGGGATGGTCACAGAAAGCCTCCTGGAGAGCAGGAAGTCCAAGATAAATTGGAAAGAACAAAACAGAAGTTACTAAGAAGGGATGGCTGGGAAGGAAATTGGGAAGTTGCAAGTGTAATCAAATAACTTTTCCTAAATTGTTCAAGAACCTGTAAATGACACATTCAACAAACAGGTCTAAAGCACCATAACAGGTTAAGAGTTGGGTTGCTAGGGCACCTGGGTGGCTCAGTTGGTTAAGCAACTGCCTTCGGCTCAGGTCATGATCCTGGGGTCCCGGGATCGAGTACCGCATTGGGCTCCCTGCTCAGCAGGGAGTCTGCTTCTCCCTCTGACCTCCCCTCTCTCATGCTCTCTCTCTCTCAAATAAATAAAATCTTAAAAAAAAAAAAAAGGGTTGGGTTGCTAGACTCAGAACATCTGCATTTGAATCTCAGCTCTAGCACTTCCTAGCATGTGTAGTCTTCAGCAAGTTCCTCAACCTTGGTGTGCCTTGATTTCCCCATATGTCCAATAATAGTACCCAATTCATATGATTGCTGAGGATTGTATGAGCTAATCCACATCAGGGACTGTAAAACAGCTCCTGGAACATAATAAATGTTAATTTTTATTTTTATTAATATATGCTCTTACATAATAAGTCTATTTACCTCTCACCACCACCATTATTGTTATCATTGTTGTTATTGCGAAATGACATAATCGTCATCCTCAAGGGGCTTACAGTATACTGGATAAGAGTTACCAGATACATAACATAAGGCTAAAGAAAGATCAAAGTCAATTATGCGTTCACTTAATAACAAATACCGGAGTGTCTATCCTTTGCCAGGTCTTCTGCTGGGCATTTTTTTTTTAAGATCTTATTTATTTATCTGAGAGCAAGAGAGTGAGCTAGAGAGCACAAGCAGGGGGAGCAGCGGAGGGAGAGGGAGAAGCAGGCTCCCTGCTGAGCAAGGAGTCCAGTGCAGGGGCTCGATCCCAGGACCCCAAGATCATGACCTGAGCTGAAGGCAGATGCCTAACTGAGCCAACTAGGCACCCCTCTTGGGCATTTTCGATGGATGGACAGATACGGTTTCTCTCCTCGGTTTCCAGTCTATCAAGACCCATGCAGGCGCCTGGGTGGCTCAGTTGGTTAGGCGACTGCCTTCGGCTCGGGTCATGATCCTGGAGTCCCAGGATCGAGTCCCGCATCAGGCTCCCTGCTCATCGGGGAGTCTGCTTCTCCCTCTGACCCTCCCCTCTCTCATTCTCTCTCGTTCTCTATCTCAAATAAGTGAATAAAATCTTTAAAGAAAAAAAAAAGACCCATGCTACAGGGCATACGAGCTGCACAAGGAGACAGATAATTTTCCTCAGTGGGTGCGGGGCACTATGTATCCAAATGGGCAGAATGAGGTAGCAGAACATTCTGGGTGGAAGGGACAGCGTTATAGGAAACACAGGGCCTCTGGGGAATGCTAAGCAGCCTTGTTGTCAGGGTGCATCTGACTGAGCAATGAGTAGTGAGGCCAAAAAGCAGGAGGGGCCTCAAGTGCCCCATTGAGTTTGCTCCCTGATCTCAAGCACACTGATTACCCTGCTAAAATGGAATCACAGCTTACTTTTAACTTCAAGTCTAATACCTTACTGTTTTTCTTCATGGTTTCTTTCTTCTCTTTCAAAAGTGACAGGGGTAAGAGGAGGAAAAAGAAAAAAACCCAGCAGCCTCAACCCACATTGACGGTGGTGGCGGAAGCAGCACTGAGTGATGAGTTTCATATGTTCTTTTTTAATTCCTCCAACATTCTGATATGGAGAGAATTGTTCCTTTTACAGACGAGAGAACTGGGGCTCAGAGAAGTCAAACGGGATGTCCGAAGACCACAGAACTAATAAATGCAGACACAGATTTAAACTGCAAGTTTGACTCCCAAAGCTTTCTTTCTCTTAGGCAAAAATATATAAGGGATTTTGCAGAATTTAAAGTCTGTTAAAAATGACTTATAAATTCAAGGTCTGTCGATTTCTGTGCTTACACAGAAAAACAGCCTTCATACACAGTCAAAACCACTTAGAGAAGATAAAGAGACCTCACAAAAGCACCAAAAAAGATAAACTACATACAAAAAATTTTAACAAAAAATTGGCAAAACCTATATAAGACAAACTTTGAAATGCTCCAAAAGGATTCAAGAGTAGAATCAAACCAATGAAAAAATACACAATGTTCTTGGATAGGAAAATATCAGAAAGACAGCAATTCTCTCTGTAAAACTAGTTTATAATTTTTACATGATCTCAATTTTTTAAGTGTTTTCTTTTCTGGAACTAGACAAAATGATTATAAATTCACATGGAAAAATAAATAAGGAAAAATTGCCAGGAAAATGAAGGGCAACAGGGGAAACTAAAACATTTTGTAAAACCAATACCGTGTACTGGTGTATGAATAGAAAGACTAATGGAATAGAATAGGAAGTCCAGAGATATGCTCCAATACACCTGGAAGTTCCGAATACAATCAAGATGTATTGTATTCTGGGGCGGCTGGGTGGCTCAGTCGTTAAGCGGCTGCCTTCGGCTCAGCTCATGATGCCAGGGTCCTGGGATCGAGCCCCGCATCGGGCTCCCTGCT